TCTTTCCACGAAACATGACAATACGGCTTTGATTTGAACCATACAAACATGTTTTTACTTACAAACCTAATGATCTCTTTTTTTTTATGTTCCATCAAAACTATTAACATGCATGAAGCTTTGTGAATCTAAAGTCTTTAATATGTCTGTAGGCTACGGGAAAAAAAATTGACAGGAGGAAAGGTAAAAACTTGAAAGTAGATAAAATGAAAAAGTAATTCCATGAGTTAAACAAAGGGAGCAGTGCAGTATCTTATAACTTCCTCTTCGGAGGTTCCAACAACATTTTCAGAGGAAACAAAACTACATTTTAACTACACATTCTAAATCAAACAGCCACTGTCCCACACGTAGATGCTGACCCAGTGCAGCTTCATGGTTGATGTGCATTTTGTAAAGCTCGGGTCATCATGTCGATGAATTCATCGTGCTGTCAAAAGCAACTCGTTAAGTTTGCGCAGCAGCTCAAATAAAGTGATGTGGTAAAGGACAAACCTGAAACAGGGATAAAAGGGCTTCCTTCACTTTGTCTCTGCTGATAACCGGACCAGTGGGTGCAGGAGCGAGTGATGGTGGTGGAGTTGGGGGTGGGAAAGGCTGGAGCACCGGAGTACCATATGGCCGCTGCTGGTGACTCGCATTATTAGGATTGAGAGGAGGAGCAGTGGGCATAGATACACCAGGAATGAGGTGTGGTTGTGCCATCATTCGCGGGGGCCCAAAGAAAGACGGCTTCACCAAATCAGCGTGAACATTGGAGTTGCTGCTGATAAGATCAGGGTTGTTGTCAAAGAGAGTCATCAAAGGAGAGGAGGATGGTAGGGGCGGTGGTGATTGTATCTGTGGAGGTGCTGCTGCCGCTACAGGAGGAGCAATGGTGGATTGGTGAGCTTGGTGAGGTTGGTGAGGAATCGCTGATGATTGGTAAGGTGGTCCACTTGCTGACCCACTCGCAGTGTTCCCAAGAGTCATAGTTGACTGTAGTCAAGGCAACAACAATTTTGATAAATTCAGTGTTACAATATGAGGAGTTGAAGTAGGGAAATCAACAATTTAGAAATAAGTTGGACCCAATACTACGCTGAAGATAATTCAAGAATCTAGAAGTAAAAGAAAGCCCTCCTGCCATTAGTCGTATATGATGCTGTCATGATGAAGAAGATAGTGTGAGTGTGTAACAGAAGCTTTAGAGACTTACGCTAAAGAAGTTGACGAAAGCAGGATCATCAGGGGAATCCCTAGCAGTTGATGATGGTTCAAGAGGACCATCCATAACTGCCATTGTAGGCTTAGCTTCCAATTCCTCAAACTCACTGCAGTACATAGAAAAATCTAACTCAATTTAATATATAACAGATGATGTAGATTTTCAAATTTCCACCTCAAAGAAAATACATCCAAGAATAACGTCTAAATCTAATCATGAAACTCTTACCTTTTTGAAGATGAGGCCTTTGGCTTCTGGTTAACCTTGGAATATGCACTAAGTATTCTGTCATGCCAAGGAACCATTAGGCAGAGATACAAAGAGTATTCAAGTAAAAAAAAATAGTAAGAAAAAAATATACAAGAACAAGAAACTATATGATAATAGGCAAATAAAAGACGATATTGATAACTATTCATGATCCAACAATTGAAACCAACGTGTATCTATGGATTTTACTTTCATGATTGTCCAATAACAAAAAACAGTTTCTACCTGATATGCAGTAACTTATATATACCTGTTGAAAAGAGTTGCTACCTCCTCGCATTCACGTTTATTGTAGAACCAAATGCCATTTACTTCTTGAGATGCATTACGGTAAAGTAAATAAGGACCTTGGACTTCATACTCAAAATCTCCCAGGAGATTCTCCACCAGATTATCTGCCCAGACCAATACAGCAATACACTGATGATTACTAATACTGAATCCTTAATTAAGAACTTGCAATAAATTCCTAAATCCATATCACCATTTTTTTAACTTAGAAGATAAACCTTCTCTAGACACAAGACACACATAAGCGTTTATGTGAAGAAAATCCTGACCTGTATTACGACGATTCATCACAATAAACTGAAATCGAGGTTGTGTACTTCTGAAAGAAACCAAAAAAAAAAAGGATCCAATCAGATTTGAGAAGACGATTAATGATAAACATTACACATAGTGAAAGATCGAAAGTAGTAACCTTTTGACAACAAACAAAGATCCTTCAACATCCTTACGACTCTGATTGAGAAAAAGACAGATCAATCGTTAGGTAACAAAGCAAACATCAAAATTATGCATAAGAAGATTGATTGAAGCTTACCCATTGGCTGAGCTCAATGTTGAATTCATAGAAAGTGACATGAGCGGCTGTGATGAGGATTTCCTCGATGTATGGATCGATCCGCTGGAGAACTGTGAGATTGAGGAGCCTCGTACTGTTCTGGTCCAGATTTGGGATTATCTTCCCGTTCTGAGACATCTTTTATAAATCAAAGATCAGATTTTTAGGGAATCTCGATTCGATTTTAGCCTAATCGGAAGAACCCTAGAATTCTGATTTACGGAAGCTGTGAGATTTGGGGACGGAGACGAAAACGCTAACTTTTTGAACGCACTTCGCTATTTTGTTGTCTACTTGGAAAAAAATATATATATATTAGAGTTAATATTATTTGTTTGTCAATACTGTAAAAATCTCATACTAAAAATCAAAATACACAAGTAATTTGGGATTATTGTCTGTATAATATACTAAACATAAAAAGCATTAGAGTTTGCTTAGGAATAGAATAGATCAATAGAGCTTGCTTAAGAATGAATGGTCCAACATAAACAGAGAATAAAAACTACATTGAAGAAGATTTTTTATTCAATTAGAGCATAATCAGTGGGTTGCTTCAAGATCAATTAGAGCATAACCAATAGAATTTGGTTAGGAATAGAACAATCCACAATCGAGGAAAATTTTCACATTGAAAACGAAAATTTGTCTTTCAAATACGCACATATAATCGAAGATAGTAAGATAATATAAGCTACAAAAGCTATCAACCCAAATCTCATTGCAGTTCTTTTAAAATTTAAATTATCCAAACCAAAAGCTAAAGAGGAGAGTAGCACAACTCTTACACTGTTTCACAGATGTGTCTGAAACAAAAACAAAGGGCAAGAAGAAGTGTCTTATAGGCACGATTCAAGTTGGCGAGAGCTCAGAAGATTCTTTGTGGTGGTCCCATTGTGCTCTTGAGGTACAAACACCTGACATTTTGCCAGTTCTTCTTCAATAGCGAGACGAGGAAGTTGACACTCATCTGAACATTCTGAAAGATCTGCTTCTCTTCCATGGAAAGGTTACCAACTGCAACTCCCATGCACAGAACCTTCTTCAGCTGGAATTTCACTGTTGCCTTTGTTTCATTCACCTTTGACTCTAAGGATTCCTGGTGGCTCACAAGAGTTGGGAACTTTCCTGAATAAAATATAGCAAAGGAACGTTCCTTAAGAATCATCAACAAAGCAAAAACTATATCCAAATCAAAAACAGATGTAAGGAAGAACAATGGTAAATTAGCTGTAGCCAGAACTTGCCTGCCTTGTTGAGACCAGGACCAAGAAGACGTGGAATCTGCTTAATGACAGATTCAGAGGCCAAGAAAGCATGGTATTTCTTCGCAAGCTTCTTGACGAGTTTCTTGTTTTTGTTAAGCTTTTTTAGAGACTCAACATCCATATTTTCCAGTCCCATTTTCTCAGCCTGCAAAAAAATACCAAATCAAATAAGCAAATATTTCATAATGCAAGAAATGAAGACTAAAAAGTTAATGACCAATTCCCGAAAAATTCACGCATCTATATTCAAAAGAGAAAAGTACTATCAAACTAATAGAGCCACCATGTGAAATGAGAACAAAAACCATTATACAAGAAACGGAGCATAAAAATGACCCATTTCCAAAAACAATGTAATCTCTTTTCAAAAGGCGGAATTTTTATCATATTATCAAAGGAAATGGTAAGATTAATCACCTCTTCAACATGCTGGGCATCTCCGAGCATGCAGATCTTCATTTTAGGACGGGGGATATGTGGTAACTTGACAGATCCACTGAAACGCTTGTCCTTCTGAGGATCATAGTTCTTCAGACCGATCTGGAGCTCAACAGTCTCCACAAAGTTACGTTTCTTTGCATCGGATTTCCCTGTGATAATAGTGATGGCTTCTCTCACGGCCTCACTCTGAAGCTTACTGTATTAACACAGAAGAACAAGGTTAAGCAAATTACATCAACAAACAAAGATCCACAACAATGACAATCTCAAAATGAACAAACCACATTATAGACACTACCAGCATACAAAATAATCTTATCTTAATAAACCTAAACTTTTATGAGGCAAGATTTAGATATATCTCCAGATTCGAAGGGCTAAGCTGAGAGAATTTATGCAAAACTGCAGAACAACTTCGGGTCAATTCTAGGCTAGTAACATCATAATACTATAAATCAAGCTCATTCAAAAAAACATCAACGATTGACATATATACAGAGACGTATCGTTCTCTAATTAAACTTAATTCGATTGGTAAACTAGAAACTAAACGTTGGCACGCCACAGAATAACGAGTTTTGAGGAAACCAAATTGCATACGACAGAACCCGAGTTAAATTTAGAGAATGGAGAATGTAAGAGATGAGTCAGGTACCTCATTTTGAGCTTGTCTCAATTTAGCTAAGATCTGATCCTGGAAACGAAACATAGACAACAAAAAACAAATGAAAATCTAGAGAAGCTCGAGAAACAAGAATCTTCTACTGTACAATACACATATAAACGAAGAAGAATCAAGCTAGAAGTGAAGCAGTCGTTGAGGCACAAACCTGAGTGATGAGACAGAAGAAACCCTAATTTAGTCGAAAGGCTAAGACTTTATAGTAGGATAGTGATAAAAATAAACTAAACCTAAATGAATTGGGCCTTTAGCTGCAACAATCATAAGATAAAGAAAAGCCCAAATCGAAAACGTATTATTTTCCGTCCAAACTAAAAATCACTTTAACGAGCTAACATCCGACTATGTTTCCACCGTCTTGGGGGACTTTCTGATGATGGTCTAGTCAAAGCCACTCAATCCGGCTTAAGCCATTCATCATCATTTCAGGTTTGACTTTGTGCCTTTACGACGCCGTCTCGTGTTTATTTCTGTTCTGTATGAATTTCTTGAGCTGTTGTTGTTAGATTACGAAGATGACTGTTTCTCGAGCTGTTGTTAGCAGCACATATTCATTCGTTTCTTTTGGAAAACAGCACAAGTGTGTCAATTCATGGCGCCATTTCTGCTCACTGTACTACAAGTCCTACTCGCATTGACCTTCTGGATCGGAATCGGATCAGGCTCGTCGAACCGTTATAATGCCGGCGATCATGTCCCTTTGTTCGTCAACAAAGTGGGTCCTCTCCACAATCCAAGGTCATTCTCAAATCTTTTGGCTAATTCTTTTGCATTTCACTTTTATTGGCATAGGTGATGGGTTAGTACTCTGAGAGAAGGAGATCTTTGGTTAGACGGAAGTATGTATAGAAGTTATATATACACGGAAAGATCAAATTAGAGAGAATGTATAAGATATGTTTAGTAGGAACTCAAAAATCGCTCATTTTCTTAAGACCCATTTTAAAGATTGGTTTTTTTATTTTGTTTTGTTTTGTATGCAGTGAGACCTATCAATATTATGATTTGCCATTCTGCCGTCCAGGTTAGGTGTCTCAAGACTTACTCAATGATCAGGGTTTCGTTTTAATCTACATTAGAATTTGTATTTATCCCTAGTTTCAGTTGTTGATTCAAGATTGTTTTCTATTTTGTAGAGCCTGTGATTGAGAAACAGGAAACTCTTGGGGAAGTTCTTAATGGTGACCGATTAATGAGCTCGCTATATGAGCTGAAATTTAGGGAGGACAAAACTCATCTTGTATTGTGCCGCAAGAGATTAACATCGAGTGATGTTGCCAGGTTCAGAGATACTATTGCTCAAGATTACTACTTTCAAATGTATTACGATGATCTCCCGTTGTGGGGATTTGTTGGAAAAGTAGAGAGAGATTATTTTGGTCAAGAGGAGAAGCACACTAAGTATTATATATTCAGTCACTTAAAGTTTAATGTTCTGTACAATGCAGACGAAGTTATTGAAATCAACAGCTTTAGTGATCCGAGTTATCTGGTTGATATATCCGAGAACACTGAGACTGATGTTCAATTTACATACTCGGTTTCTTGGAATCTGACTTCAGAACGCTCTGAGACAAGAATGAATAAGTACTCCCAGGCGTCGCTTCATCCGATCAGCCAGAAGATTCACTTCTTCTCATTTCTTAACTCGATAACTGTTGTAGTTTTGTTAATTGGACTTCTTTCTTTGCTCTTCGTGCGCCATCTCAAGAATGAACTAAGAAGGTGACATTTTTTTTCACAGGAGACTCTATTCTTCTTTTGTGTAGTTTAGCATATGTGATAAAATTTATCTTTCTGAGTTAACTCCTCTTTATGCATTTCAGTTCCTCGATTGGAGATGAAGAAGAAAAAAAGGAAGTGGGTTGGAAACTTGTACAAAGTGATGTATTTAGATGTCCTCGGAATGTCTCCTTGCTCTGTGCGTTCTTAGGAACTGGTACTCAGTTGCTAATCTTGTAAGCTTCTGTTATCTAGAATTCCATTATCGTCATTCTATTTTCGATGTTTTATTGTTTAAAATATCATTTTCATTTGTATACCTTATGAAAGTAATACACAAAGTGATTGAATCACTCTCAATTCCACTGGTAAACTTTGATTTTTCAGTGAAAACCCCAGTTTTGTCATGGCTTTTTGTTAAGTGCACTTGAAATACATATATATTTGCATAGTTACTGACAATTGTTTTCATGTCAATCTCATGATGATACATATTGTTTCCATTTATTGGGAGTACTGGACTCCAGTATCAAGATGAATTGTGTTTAATGACTCCATTTGTTGTTCCATGTCTCTGACTTGTTTTTCTTTTGTCTTCAGGATTATTGCTCTATTTGCATTGGCCTTTACCGGTTTTTTATACCCATACAATCGCGGAATGCTGTTGACTTCTCTCGTCATCATGTACACTCTAACATCCGTAGTGGCTGGTTACACATCTGCTTCTTTCCATAGCCAATTCGAGGGAAACAAACAGGTAGTTGACTTTTCAAGTGCCTTCTACTTTTGCTGTTCTCGAAAGATTCATTATTCGGAAAACCTTAATTATTAGAGATTATTGCATTTTTTCAGAAAAGGAGTGTTCGTCTTGCTGGGATCCTGTATCCTGTCCCTTTCTTGATAATAGTTTCGGTCCTCAACACTGTGGCAATTACTTACGGGGCAACAGCTGCACTCCCCTTTGGCACAATAGTCATCATCATCCTCATTTTCACTCTTTTGAATATCCCATTTCTCATGTTGGGAGGAGTTTTAGGTAACCGGTTCGGATTATTAGAGTTTCAACCTCCAACCGCTGTTAAAAGAAACCCCCGTGAAATTCCACTTCAGAATTGGTATCGTAGAAAGCTGTACCAGTTGTTTCTTGGAGGCTTTGTACCTTTCATTGCAGTTGTTCTCGAGTGGCACCAACTCTATGCAAGCTTGTGGGGATTCAAAATATATACCTCGCCTGGAATAATGCTTTTTACATTCGCTGTGCTCATCTTCTTGAGTACGAGTGTCGGTATTATCTTGACCTACATTCAGCTATCCGGTGAAGATCATGAATGGTGGTGGAGGTATGTAGTCTTTTACTGTACTGCGTTCTTTTTTATCCGAACATATGAATTTGATTTAGACTAGGTATGATGAGAAGCCATCAGCAGATGCATATTAACTTGAGTATCTAGATCCAAACGGGCATAGAAGGAAATGTGAAACATAGTTGGCGTGGAATCTTTTCCTTTCAGAATAATCACTTAATTTCCAAAGGGACATACTAAAATTATAGAATATATTACAATTCTTTGCAGATCGATATTGTGTGGAGGATTCTCAGCGGTATTCATGTATGCGTATGGAGTATTGTTCTATCTCAGGTCTGACATGACTGGATTTCTGCAGCTGAGTTTTTACTTAGGATATACTGCTTTGTTCTGTTACGCTCTCTTCTTGGTTCTTGGAACCATAAGTTTCTTGGCTTCTTTGTTGTTTATTCGCCACATCTATCGTTCTGTCAAGCTTGAATAACTCCAAGAACTAACTCTTTCTTTCATCATGCGACTCATCTCTGTATTAGTATCTTTTTTATTTTAGTTGTTAACTCTTTCATGTTTCTTTGTTAAGGAAAGGAAATGATCGTACTAAATATAGAAAGTTACATTTTGTTCATCCCACAGAGTTAGTCTCATATAGTCATATCATATCACCATTCAACAGCAAACTACATTACTTAGAAGTTACATATGCATAATGCAAATCAAATATAGCAATCCAAACACACAGTAAACTAAAAAGAAAAAAAAAAAAACATCAATTTTCACTTGCTTCCTATACGGTTCGAACTGCAAATGGGTGGCTGCACAACTCCATTATCTCCCTTTGAATCCAAAGCACTAGATCCCTCAAACTCACTCTTCATGCTTCCTGACTTGTGTTCATCAGCAACCACTTTCATTCTCTCTGATGCTTCTTCCTCCTTAATTATGTACACACCGTCTCCTTCTTCATCATCATCTTCTTCTTCTTCTTCTTCTTCTTCTTCTTCTTCTTCTTCATCTTCATCTTCTTCTTCTTCTTCTTCTTCCTCTTCTTCTTCCTCTTCTTCATTGTCTTCTTCTTTCTCGCCATCTTCGGCTTCTTTGCTACATCTTCTGTCAACCACAGAAGAGGAAGCTTCCCTTTCTCTCACAGTTTTCTCTGTGAGGCTCTTGAGCAACTTCATCACTTGGACCGCATACATCAATGCAGTTAAAGGGTCTGCCATCTACACATAAAAACAAAAACAGAGCCAACACATTTCAAAAAATGAAACCTCCAAAGTTGCAGAATCATGCTCTGCTATTTAACTGTCCTATTAGCTATCTATGCAGTGATTTAATGCAGCCATCAATCAAACAAAGTCTTAATGAGAGTATCATTCGTGCATTCTAGTGTTGGTAATAAAAAGACTCACTCACCTGAGACATATTAGGGGCAAAGACTAGAGCAAGGTTACGAGAGTTCATCTTATTAACATGCTCAAACTGAACAACATCAGCCATGAGATTGATGGCCCAATTGAGAAGAGAAGCTTCTGTTTGAGGTAAGAGTCTCACAACCTTAACAAAATCCTCATCTGACTCACACTGCATCACTTGCTCCGATGGCAGAGGATCAAGAACACCTCTCGGCAGCTCTCTGAACCAAGCCTGAAAACACACACACACACACACACATACATCATCAAACTCATGTGCCATTTCCAAAACAAAAGCAAAGTGATTCACAATCACAACAAGGAACCTTAATAAGTCCGGCTAAACAATGGACATCAATTCCATCTGGTATGATCCCTTTATTAAGCTGCTCCCTAACAAACTCTTCCTCGCTGTTCTCTCCAGTGATTCTGAATACTCCTTCTGCCTGCAAGCCTCCTTGATCATAAAGCCGGCTCTGCAATAGCAACAGTATCACAGGAACACAATTCCCTCTCGAGTCATATGATAACTGCATTGACTCTGTCGATACCCCAAACACCGTTGCACTGCCAATACAAACAACATGATATGAAATCTAACTCTCAAAATCAATTCGCAATGAGTTTAAAGAAGAAGAAGAAAGTCTAAACCTTGCACTGGGAGCTTTTGTAGGGACATCAGGCTCGAACTCAGAGGGAAGACCGAGGAAGCCATTGAAACGATCAAAGGTAACGTGAGCCACGTGGCGGATATTGGTAGGACCGCCAATATCCATGGCTGGACGGTCGTTTTCTTCCACCTCCGCCGTCGAGAAACAACGGGCGAGCTCCAGGACGACACGACCTACAGACGACGGAGAGCCGCCGAACCGCCAAAGTTCGGTCTTACCGCGCTTTCTAAGTCTCTCTATCTCTTCTCACGAAGAGCCGAGTTTCTTCTCGCTCTTTCCTCCGGGAGACTTTTTTGGGAATGTGATGAAAAAGGGGAAGAGAAGATACTATGATGGGATAAAGGAATTGGTAATGGCCGGCAACGAAGTTGGGTTAATAAAAATATATAAAGGTTGGCAATTTACACGTTACAAAGAAAGTTGCAGAGAGATTGAGTGGCGATGAAGAAAAGGGTTAGGAGGAAGGTGCAACGTGGGAATCACTCACTTCGTTTTTTTATTTCTAAGTCTAGATTTTTAAATTAAGCAAAACAAATTTTAGAGTGGATTTTACTCTCCCTACTTTATAACATCTCTCTCTTATATTTCTGTTTACAGTTACACTATATCTATTTATTTTTAACATTAAGTTTTTTTTTTTTTTTTTTTTTTTTTTTTTTTTTTTTTTTAACATTAACATTAACATTAAGTTTAGAATTCTAACAAAACAAACAAACTAAAAGTGTAAGAAAAGAAAAAAAAAAAAACACACTTTATCAACGTTACATTACACGTTGCAGATCTTTGTACCATTGCTACAATCGAACAGCCCAACATAATATGGGCCTGAAGCGAACCAAATAATACGTGGCCCCTTTATACATCATATAACTGTTACGGATCAGAAAGTCAATGGACAATAAAGAAAAATTGCAAATTTGACAATTTCACCAAGACAATGAATGGTTAAACCGAAAAAATAAAATTCTACTAGCAATTAGACAAGATGGATTTTTAATATAACTAGGCCACCAAGTTATGAATATTATAGTTTTGGGGCTTCAAGCATCAGCTTGTTGGACCTTTTTCTTAGATCATGCTAGGACCAAAACTGACTACACTATTTTGAGTACTAATAATTCAAAAAATTCTTCTTCACCCGTAATGCATATTGCATCATTCTTATTCGTTCGAAAACGAGCTTCAGTATTTGTTCCAATGTCATTGATCATGATGTGTATAGAATATTTAATTTGACAATTCTTTGTTTTTTGATAGTTTTTTTTTTTCAACCACCATATATGTATACGCAAAGAATGATAATAGGCAATTAGGCATCAGCCAAATAAGATTTGTGGTATTGGGCTGAGTTGATAATCTAAGCACTATTTTGATGGAAAATTTGATATTGAATATATATAGAGCTTAAGTGTGAATTATACTTCCACCAACAAAAGAGCATAATCTAAAGAGCCGTCAAAAGTAAACTCTCAATTTGGGGGATTCATTATGATTTATGACACAAACTAGAGAATAAAGCGATGACAAATGTGGATTTGCAAGAGAGCTCATTGACTAAAACAGCTATACGAATCAAAGGAGACATATAACAATTTCTAATAAAGGAAAGGAATCTGAAATGTAGCATTAGGATTTAGGTGATGACAGCGAGTGGATGTTGACCCATCAACAAAATTATAGGATAATACCAAACTAATCAATTTAAATAACCCTTGATTGAGATGTTTATCAATATTTTTGGTATTTTTAATGCTATTTTCTATATTTATTTACGAGTAATGCAAGAAGGCCGTTTAATTTTATCTTATTGGTCTACATAATTGTCATTATTCTATGGGTATTTTGGTTGAACTGGTAGAAGCAAAATTGTTAATTATTCAACTTAAGTATGGTAGGTTAACCGACTAGAGAAAGTTGCTCTAGTTCTACTTCTATTATATTATATATATATATATATATATATATATATATATATATATATATATATATATATATATCCAAATTTGAAATTTTAAACTTAAATAAGCTATATATATATTTTTAACCGTCTCAGAAACTATCTCATATATGCGATGACAATCTCTGCTTTCAAAAGGTTATATATAGACTGAAGATGAAACTAAAAAATTTCGGTAATCATATTTATATATAAATGTAGACGTATTTTATTCATACTATTCTAATCCCCCTCTATATATATATATATCCCAAAGGTCATTTACCAAAAAGAGCTGTGGTTTAAAATAGAAACTCATTCGATTCTGCTATTTTAATATATACATACATGATACACCCATCAACAAACATTCCTTATCCCACATGAATACATTGTCTTTAATTCTGATAATGGGTATTAACATTATTTCACCACTAGCTCATTGTGTATTCTAATCCAATAACAAACTCATTAGATCATCCAAACAATATATATAACTTAGCTTAATCTATAGCTGGGGGAGTTGTATTCATTTAATCAATAGAACCACCAGAGTATATATGTCTACTAGACTAAAATTATATGTCATATTCTTTTGGCAAAAAATATATAGTATGATGTATTGTCATGCCCACTCAAAGATTCTTGATATAGTTCCAGACTTTTCATGTTATTTTTCTTTTGGTTTTAGATTAACAGACAAGCTACTTAGAAAAAATAACTTCATGCATGATCCATGCTACTATGATGATAAAGTGGGTTTTCAAGACCCACTTCTTTTATGCAAATTTACCACTTTACTTTCACATATACAAATACGTGTTTTTAATATAGAAATGTACGTGAATACGATGAATAATGTAGAAAAGATGATAGATTATTGCAAAAATGTGTACGTGAATAAGCCCAAAAAGAGATTTGATGAAAAAGAGCCAATAAGCACAAACAGGCGGTTACAAGAGAGATTGTGGAGTAGGAGTCAGTGATTCTAGTGGGTTCCTCCTCTTTTTCTGCTCTCTTTCTTCTATTTTTAATTAATGGACTAAATTACAAATCCTCATTTAATTTTCTTTCTCTCCCATTTTTTTTTCTACATACTCGATAGTTTTCTGAATAATCTACCTACATTTTCTCTTGTGATCGGTCCAATTAATCTTCTTATTATCTTCTACATGTTGGATAAGGCTCTTTTTTCTTTACCAAGGATAAAGCTCCTTTCTTTTTCTTAACAAAGGATAAAGCTCTTTTAATCACTCTTACTCTTTAGATTTTCTGTTTTCTATTTTTCTAAATTTTCTCTTTATGGGAATGCATAAACATCGTCATCTGATCAATTGCCAAGTACTAGCTTGACCCTTGACAGCTATAAAGTTAGTCAACTAAATTTTCAATTTTCTGTACAGCTTTTTTGAACCCACTATTATTCAGAAAAAAATAGCAACATATATATACAACAACAAAAACATAGCCTGGAGACAAAGTCTGGGAAGGACAAGATCTTCGTCTGATTTACCATGAAATAATATCAATATTTCTTTATTATTTTCTTAAATAAAAAATTTGAAATAATTTAGCAAGTGCAATTTGTGTCTACTGTGGAAATAGA